AGAACCCATTCTTACTCCCATACCTTAATATTTTTTCAAGCTAGCATAGTGGACATCCCAATACTACCTTCTAAGCCCTTATTTTCTTAACAGTCGATTCTCTTTTTCTCTGCATCTTTTCCTCGTTTTTTATCCTCAAGAATTCAGTTTTAAAACAATTGAGACTTGTGACCAGCATATTGAATCAGCCAACTAGTCTTATGAATTAACGAAGTGCTATTATATTACTATATACTTCCTCCGTTTTTTATTACATGCATCACTTTCTAAAAATGAAAGTTTCAATTTAGATGCATCACTTTCCCTCTTAGTTAATGAATTCTCTCTCTCTCTCTTATCACATGGCCCCTCTTTATTTTTTCTCTCTATCTCTCTCTACTTCAAAAATTGCCCAGGAGTCCACAATTACAAAAGTGATGCAACTAAATAAAAACGGAGGAAGTATAAGATGTAAGCCACTGCTTGCTAATATTTTACTTGACATTTGTTTATCTGATGTCAGTATCTTCAAACCAAATAACAAGCATGTTGGAACAGCTGATGAGTCGTTTTTTGATGTAACTGTATTGTATATAAAACCATTGCTAAAGCTTATTCGATTTTTGTAGGGAACTTTCATTGGACTCCAGAAGACGTGGCTAAATCGATTCTTTGCATGATCATGTCTGGACCTTGTCTGACTGGCTATACACAGGTTGGGCCCCAGAAAATTATCTTTATCTATATGGACATTATTTACATTCGATTTTTGTTTTCTCATGTATACATATTTCTTTATAGACCCTGAATGATTGGTATGACCGAGATATTGATGCAATTAATGAACCTTATCGTCCGATTCCTTCAGGGGCAATATCTGAGAATGAGGTATGTGGTACATTTGACTACGATAACTAACTTATGGCCACTAATATTCTTTGTTATTGATGACTTTTCTAATTTCTTGCAGGTCATTACTCAAATTTGGGTTTTGTTTCTAGCTGGACTTGCTATTGCTGGAGGATTGGACGTGTGGGTAAGAAGATTTCAGCACCTATTATCTCTTCTCAATCTTTTCTTGTACTGATTTGCTACTTCAGCTATTTCCTTTTTTTTTTTTTTTTTTTTTTTTATTTTTAATCCGTCTTATTTTTAGGCAGGGCATAAATTTCCTACACTTTTCTACTTGGCTTTGGGTGGATCTTTTATTTCTTACATATATTCTGCACCTCCCCTGAAGGTAATTTCTTCTTTTCCCATAGTATTGTCCAACATTGGAGAAGAGTCCCATTTTACATTTATTTTATTTTTTCCGCAGCTTAAACAAAATGGTTGGATTGGAAATTTTGCCCTTGGGTCAAGCTACATCAGTCTTCCATGGTGTGTTTTCTTCCTCTGTTCCCTCTGTCTGATTCCCTCTCTGTCATACACTCATAAACCTGTTATGCTCTTGGGTTATTGGAGCTCAAGGAGTTACCTTCATCAGATACCTATAAGAATGGCTTGGACTTTTAGAAGCAACTAAAACAGACCTATATCTCAGGTTGCTGGTTCTCAGTCAAGTTATTATGTCAAAATGACTATACAGATGAGCTTTTCTTAATGACGTTTCAAAAATACTGTCCTTAGTCATCATATTTCAACTTGACAATTAAACTTGTGGTGAATCTACCAGCTGTTTCCATCTTTCCTCTCATCATAGAGCAATATATGCTCTAATCTTCTGTCAGCTTTTCCAAGAAACTGTAGTGTTGTGCCACTCTTGCTCTCTTATGCTTGAATTATTGTTTTCGCACAAACATATGTCCCTGTCAATTCTCTTATGAAATATTGTCTTTTTTCACAACTGAAATGAAGATCTACTTTTATGGATGCTTGTTCTGGTTCTGGTTCTGGCTGATTTATCGTAGTTTAATTCCTGATGTTGTGTTGGTAGGTGGGCTGGTCAAGCTTTGTTTGGCACTCTAACACCAGATATAATCATTCTTACCCTCCTGTACAGCACCGCTGGGGTATGCTTTCTTCATTCTTGACTAACTACTCTCCTGTCCTATAATGAACTTCATGTTGGTGGGCATAGAGGTTAGGATTACTTATTAAATTTTGAAGTAAATATTGTAATAGGTAGAAAGAGAAACATATAGAAGAATAAGTGTTGGGAAGGAGAGACGAAAAGGATTGATGGTTTGGAGATCGAAACAACAATATCGGGATTGTTAACTTTTGGTTAAAAAGGAATTTTTAAATTGTTTTGGGATATTCCAAAATGACAAGCGTGAAGTTCATTCAGGACAGAAATTTACATGATTGAAAACCAATTTCTCACTAATTTTCTGTCTTTCACATCATGTCATAGCTTGGCATTGCCATTGTAAATGACTTTAAGAGCATTGAAGGCGACAGAGCAATGGGACTGCAGGTTGGTCAAATTTTCTGTGTTAAATTAGTTTCACTGAGGCCTGAATTAAAACCCAGTATAAAATTCTTTGCAGTCAATTCCAGTAGCTTTTGGCATTGAGGCTGCTAAATGGATTTGTGTTGGTGCCATTGACATAACCCAGCTATCAGTTGCAGGTAATCAACGTGTCATTTTTTACAAGCATCATTGATGTCTCTTGGCAAAGCTATCTGCTCCATTTTATTCACAAGCTACCCCTTTTGATATGGTGTTTTTACATATACGACCTTCATTAGATGTTGATAATCTTGATATTATGATAGCATATAAAAAACCAGTCGTATGCATGAGAGTACATGTCATCATGCATTTTGAAAAGGGCTCACTTCGTTTTTAATTCTTCCAAGTCAAATTGGAAAAGGTGGCCAAAGCTTAGAGCTTGTTACATATTTTGTGATGATTAAAGATTGCATCTTCTCAATGCTGGCATACCTAGATTGGTCAAGAGAGTGATGATAATTTGACAATAATTTCTCCATTTAGCACCAAGTTTAAACTTTAAAGTGATATTCTATGTTGGATCACCTTTTTCCCTCCCTAAAGATATTTTTCTGAGGCTAATTTTTTCTTAGGGAAAACAGATTATTCTGAAAGACGACAATCTGCAATATATGTCGAAAACTCGAAAAGGAGCATATTTTAGGGCTACGTGGTCAAACAGTTATAACTTGTGTCATTCTTGTTTTTGACCTCTCCGAATCTGCACAAATGCACACATATGATGTGACTGAGCTGTCCTTGAGATGGATGTTTAAGTACTGCATTATAATAGACTTATCTCAAAAGCTGTAGGAGTGTATATTCTGGTCACTGATTCTTTCAATTTGGATGACATTTTTCTATTGTCATGTGAAAATATCCCAGCCCCTCCCACAGAAAAGTGGACGATAGAAATTTAAACTATTCTTGGAAGGTATGTTTCTGCTACTACTGTGGATTAATCTCTGATCATTCTACTTGTATTGCAATTCAGGTTACCTCCTGGGGGCTGGCAAACCGTATTATGCTTTAGCTTTACTGGGCTTGATACTTCCACAAATTTATTTCCAGGTATGCACTTAGCTGGCTAATAATCCACATTTATGCTAATCTCTGTGTTGCTAACGTGAATAATCTTTCAATCTGCCTTTTTTGGTTGTCCGAAAATAATCATCCTGTTTTTTTTTAGAACAAACGTTACTTTTCTTTCTCAATAAGACATGAACCATTTTCCCACTGTTCCAATACTATTTTTCTCCCTCTTATCCCCTCTTTAGATATTTTAAAATCACAGTTTAACCACTTTTCTCAATCTTCTTGCTAAAAGCTAGCATGAAAACTGTTAGGGAAGTTTCCACCTTCACAAGTGTATAATTATAATGCAAAGTTATACAAAATCTAAGCATTTCAAAGGCAGTGTTAGACTGTTACCTTCTATAGGAAAATTGTTGGGTGACGACGATATCTGTTATCTACCACTTGATTGACCCATCAAATTCATTACCACAACGTTTTGCATTCAGCATTTTACATGCTTTTTTCCTTATTTTTTTATTTTTTTTTTATAAGTTTCTTCTTTTACTTTATTTTTTATTTTTTGATATTTTCTTAATTAAATTTCTCTGTTGCAGACCAAATATATCCTGACAGACCCCATCAAGTATGATGTCAAATATCAGGTACTTCAAATATCTCTAGTTTCTGTACTTTGCTATGATTTGTGAGAAGAATGTGATTTAGAATACTACGTATAAACACTCCTTTTGCTCTCCTATGACTTGTGACAAGAATTTGAGTTAGAATATAAACTGTCCTTTTGCTCTCCTTTCCAGGCTAGTGCACAACCATTCCTTATTCTTGGTCTTCTAGTGACTGCATTGGCAGTCAACCATTAAGTGGCTGTGTCACCTTGGTCTGTATTACCTTGACGAGCAACTGAAATTCGAACATCTATCAGTAACAGGAAGTCCAAGATGTATGCGGAAAATGCTGTTTCAACATACGGACATTCAGTTAAACATGTTGGGTGAGCACCCAATGTTTATGTACTGAAGCAGAATATAAATTTTTCCTTGTGCCTTTCATCACTCTCTTGTAATTAGATTAGTGTATCCTCTGTATCCATCATTTTGTGCAATCAGAAATCGTTGAACGTAAGCATTTTGTATTATTATGTTTTAGGTTGTGTACTAGAGAATAGAGATCAGAGTAGACCTCTGTTGTATTCTTCTATTTGTAATTTTTTCCCCTTATTCGTCTTTCTGCTGAGAAAAGAGCCAAAGAGGGGATTTAAATTGTGTACCAATAAACGAGGTTTCAAGTGAGTAATAATATTCCTAATTCACACAATCACACTCCCATAGAAAAGTATATTTTTTAAGCTTACGCTGTACCTTTTTTTGGATTATTTTGTTTCTTTTATTTCGTTTATTTTGCATGTAAACGGAAATAAAGGAAATACTTATTATTTTAAAATTTTAAAATGAAGAGAACGTACACTAAATAGTAAGGAGTATGGAGTAGAAATTAGCTTTGTTTACAAGAACTCAATATCCCTGACATGCGAAAACAGAAGAACACCATGCTTGTAAAATTTATCAAAAAAACTTGAAATTACTTGGGAAACCACAGCATTACATGATATAGCTGAAACACAAGACTACAAAGTCTACAATTGTTCTACACACATACCTACTCCGACCTCCACCTGAAAAATTTAGGTTGCACGAAAACGGCTAGAGGAAAACTTAAACATAAAATAAAATTCCGTCCGACTCCAAGCCATTTACGGGTTACATTAGCACGGAATCAAACAACATCCGTGCTGTTAACTACATACTTGTTGTAAGTTTGTAACAACCACCGTACCTAAAGTTAAACTAAAAGGGTGTAACATACATTTTATTACATAACGACGTACAAGGGTCTTAAGTACTCCGTGGATAAAACTAAACAACGGGAAAATGAGGTTTGAGTTCAGCAACACCAACTCAAGGTTAACGAAGAGGATTCATTGATTAGGAGCGAGTACGGAACTTGGACTCGTCGATATCAATGCCTTTCTCCTGAGCTCGCTCCTCGCCGGATTGGTCCATGGTGCTGAGTCCACCCTTGCGGCCCATTTCACTGTAGCCTTCGGTACCCATTTGGTCCTTGCGGGTCTGACCACCCTTGGTGCCAAGCTCCTGGTATCCTTCGTGTCCTAGCTGCTCCCTCCTTGTCTGTCCTCCCCTGCTCCTTCCTGCATTACAAATTTATTTAACTCCATAAAAAAAAAATAAGGAAATTAAATTATCATGCAAGCTTTTTTACGTAAATCCTCTGTTTTCAATACTCACAAAAACACACTTATTTGGCTAACAAGTGGGAAAATTGACGAGGATAATTATACGGAGTTCCATTTAGTCACGTTCTTTTCACCTGATATAGAGATGTATACAATTATCATTAAATGTAAATTATTTATCATAACATTTAGCAATGTTCTTTGTAGTTACAATTTTTTACATTAAAGTGAAAAAGAACATGACCTACTAAATTAGTAGGTTTAGTTCTTTAATTGTTACTTCAAATGGCGTATGGAGTACTAAAGAATATCTTACAACTGCTAAAAAACCAAAGAAATTACGTACATACAACAACTACTAGTATAATACGCAGTATAAAGTACTCGTAATATTTAGGTGTTGATACTGTTCTATCATGTCGACGTCATACTTACAGTATGTACAAATATGATGTCAAAATTCTATTTTAAACTATCATTAAATTCATTATATATATATTAGTCTTCATTTTATTATATAAATTAATGCTAACATTTATTACCGCCTATCGAACTCGTGCAAAAATTAAAATAAAGAAAGAAAGACCTTCAGCAAGGTGCTCTTGGGCTTCAAGTGACTTGCCACCAGTACCACCAGGAACAACAGTCTCACCCTGCCTAGCCCTTGCATCCATCTCTTTCCTACTCTCTTGTTGTGCCGATGCCATTTTCTCTCTTTTTCTTTTCTTTAACAACTAACTTATGTAACTAGCTAACTACCACTCTAAGTTCAGCAAGTTTTGAATTTGTTAGTTAAAAAAGACAGTTACTCAACTTCTAATTATGGAATGTTATTATCTTGGAACTTTCACTATATATAGTAGTTTGAGCATTAGGATGACGCTTAAACAAGAAGGTTACGTGGCAATAGAGGGTACAACATGGTACTATATAAGTGACACGTAAATGCTTCATCAGTAAAATGTAAGTAAAGTAGCTCCTCAGTTGATGCCACCTTTTCACCAGTGGTCACTTCTTATTGGGCCGACTCTGTTACACTATTCGGTGTTAGATTGGTATAACAATAACTCCTTTATTATGGATATACATAGTCTATCGCTAATCTTTTGGGCCTTGGATTCTCACATCTCATCTCAATCTTTTCACTGTAGTGTAATGTACTCCTTCCTGTCACCATTTGTTTGATCGGTTTACGTACTTTATTACGCCTCCTTATATGAAAGCCATTTATGTTTAAAATGTGGATATAACATGAGTCTCTTCATAGTTCATACTTAACGAACATGAAATATTACACTTAAAGGAAAAGGTGAATGAAATTTGAACCTATAAACTTTTTATCACGTTGACTTTTGATATCATTTTAGAGAACCATCTCAAGATTCTCAACCAAAGTTTAAACTGATGGTTGAAACCCAGGTCATGATCGATTTTTATACTCTATCATGCTCCCTCAAATAAAAACCTTCTTGGCTTGAAATGTGGATGCAACATGGGCAGATAGGTTCACTTGAAAGAGAGGTCGATGAGATTTGAACCCGTGACCTTCTTTTCACGTACAATAGAGTATATAAACCATTCTTAGGTTTCAACCATAAGCTTACGCTTCTGGTTGACTTGATCCTTTAACATTGTATTAGAGCCCCATGACAATAAGATCAAGGAGATTCAAATTTCATTCACCTCCATTTTCAAGCGGAAAATTTTGCGAAGAGTATGATGGGGCCCATACTGCATCCACATTTTAAGTCCAACGAGCTCTTATGTAAGGGGTGTGATAGAGTATATAAACCAATCCCGAGCTTCAACTATAAGTTTAAACTTTTGGTTGAATAAAACTTAAGCGGATGATAAGTCTGAAATTAGTATATAATTTTATATATATAATCTATCATAAACAAATATAGATGATGGGAGTATGCGTTATAAAAGAAAGACAATCTTACCCTTCCATCCCATTATCTTCCAAACATTTTCCTTTTCAATCTATCTCAAAGTACAAGTATTAGTAATAACACTTTTTACTTTGAAACTGTGATTTCTATAACATACAATATAAATATGCGAGTACTCACTATCTTTCATCATATCGATCTATTTTACAATAAGTTATTACAAGTAATTTACTATCTTATATAGTTATACTCTATTTAATTTCAAAATAAATACTTCGTTTTGAGCAACACATTTGTCAACCCGGAACTTTAACCTATAATATCTTGCCCATCTTTTATTATCAAAAGTATAAATTACATAAAGCGGATATTCGAAACTATACATTAAAAAGATTCTAGTATATACTATACCCACATGACGATTATTAGTCGTTTATATAAAGCATCAATATTAGTCAAAGTGGTATGTGTAAATCGTACGAAAGTCAAAGTGAGACGTTATACAGAGGGGGTATCACATTTAATCTCTTCCTCCGTCTATAATAATTGACAGAGTTTGATATTCATGTAGTTCGTATCAACTATAACATTGCTTCTTAAAAATTTTTTAAAACAAATATTATTGAGATGTAAAATGTTGTATTAATAGATTCACAGTATAACTGTTTATACTACGTAATATTTATTAATTTTAAATTATACTCCATATACATATGTGATGTTGCCAAATGTGTCAAGATTGACCATGTCAATTACCCTATTATGGAGGTAGTATTAAGTAATCCTTCTACTCCAATCAGGGTTGTTAATGAGCCGAGCCTATTCGTGAACTATTCGAGCTCGGCTCAGTCAAAGCTCGTCTCAGTAGGGGTTGGATTCGACTCGAGACTAAACGAGACAATACACGAGCCATGTTAAGCTCGGCTCGAAAAGCTCGCTAGTGGCTAGATTTTTTTTTTTAAAATGTATTATAGTTATTTTTACACTTGATGAATAAAATTAACAAGTTAATAAGCATAATAACAGCAGACCCACTATTATATATACTTGTTTAGTTGGGCAAGTTATGTGACATAAATCATGTATTTATAGGCCTAAATAAGCCTGATTTCAAAATTGAGCTTATAACGAGCCTGATTTTGAACTCGAGCTAATAACGAGCTTGACTCGGGCTCCACTTTTGAGCACTCAAGCTCGAGCCAAGCCTACCAATATTCGGGATCGGCTCGGCTCATTAACAGCCCTAGCTCCAATTTAATTAATTGGCTTTATTCCCAGGAATAGGGAAAGGTTACATACTATTTATCGATATATTAAGGCCATGTTCTTTTGAGCTGATATGCTCTACTCTGCTCTGTTGAAATCTGCTCTGCTATGCTCTGCTCTGCCCTAATCTGCTCTACCTTGCTTACAAATAATAATTATTATTAATAATATTAATTAATATTAAATAAACATAATAATTATTATTATAATTATTTAATAATAATAACTAGTATTTATAGATAATAATAATAATTAATATATAATATTAATTGATAATAATAACTAATATTTAATGATAATAATTAATATTTTATATTTTTTAACACATTTTCTAATGTTATAAAAGAGTTAAAAATGTAAAAAAAATCAAATAATAATAATAATAATAATAACAACAACAACAACAACAACAAAAATAATAAAAATAATAATAAAATAATACGATGATTAATAATAATTAATAATAATAATAATAATAATAGTAATTAATGATAATAATGCGATAATAATAATAATAACAATAATAATAATAATAATAATAATAATAATAATAATAATAATAATAAAATATGCTCTGCTCTACTCTGCTGAAATCTGCTCTGCTTTGCCCAGAAGCTCAAAAGAACATGATCTAAGTTGTTTATAAAAATTCGAACATACAACCTCAACTTTTAACTCCAAATGTTTTGTCACTAAGCTATACAAGTATAACATTTCATGTTCTCTTTTGCAAAGAAAGAAATAAAATGTAGTGAACGAAATGGAAAGAAAAAAAAAATTAAAAAAATTGAATCATAAACTAAACGTATTATTACAAATTTGTATTACATAAGTCAAGAGAGGGGGCTGTGGTGTCCTCGGGTCCTAAAATGTCCAATTTGCCCTTATTTTAATTTGTTTTAAAATAATCAATATAAAAACCTGACATATGTACACTACTAGAAATAGGCTAAATTCCGACGGACTTTTTCCGACGGACTCCAATTCCCTCGCAAAAGCTGGAAATTCCGGCGGAATTTTAGGTTGTAGGAAACATCCGTCAGAAACGATATTTTTCGACGGACTTAATTCCCTCGGAAACTTACTCTTCCGACGAAAAATTCCGTCGGAATGAGTCCAACGGATTTATATTCCCTAGGAAATATCCTCTTCGGACGGAATTTTCCGCCGGAAAGATATTTTCCGACGGAAAATTCCGTCGGAAGAGGGTATCTTCGAAGGAATATATTCCGTCGCAACATTTCAGCAATTTAAAAAAAAATGACCGATTTGAATTGTTTCAGGCAACACAGCCACGAAACAGAAACTGAGCAAGGGAGAAATAGGAAGAGAGAGAAAGGGAGAAAGAGAAAGAGAGAAGGAGAAAGGGAGAAGGAGAAAGGGGAAGGAGGTCACCGTGATCCACCACCAACCGCCGCCTGGTCGCCGCCTGTAAGTCGCCGTTTTTTTTGGTTTCAAATTTTTTTTTTTTAAAGTTATTGAGAACCCTAACCACCACCACCACCTAGGTTGTTACAGTATTCACCATTAGCCACCACAACCACGAAAGCTTCACCGGAATACACCATTGTCGCCGCCGGATAATGGTAAGTATTTATGTATTTAATTTTTTTTTAAAATAAACTATTTTGAGGTTTTTTTTGTACTTAATTTCTTTTTTTTTTTTTTTGTTTTGTTTTGTTTTTGGTTTTGGAATTGCAAGTGACGACCCCCACAGCCACGACACCAGCCGGGCGCCGGTCTGCAACTAAGGGGACGCCCAGCCACCACCGCTAGCAGGTGGTGTTTTGTTTTTTTTTTTTTTTTTCTTTTTTTCTTTATAATTTGTTACCATTTAATCATTTTTTAATATACATAGGCATCACAAACTTAGTTACTAATTGGGATAATTTGAAATTTTTGTAGGTTTTGTAGATTCACTTTGTTCTTTGGCAATAACAAGTGCAGATCTACAGGTTAGAGACTATGTAAAACCTAATATTATAAGTTTAGTTTATACTTGGCATGTTAGTCGGTAATTGTATTTAGATATATGTTGGTTTTTTTTTTAGTGTAGTGTATACAATTTATTGTATTTAATAAGTTGAAATTTTTGAAAAGAATGTGTATGTGTTATGATATGTTAGTTTAGTTTAGTTTATTTAAGTTTAGTTTTTAATTATTGTATAATAACATGTTAACATAGTTTGGTTTAGTTTATTATAATAATGTATGCTAGTTTAGTTTATTTTATTTTAGTTTAGTTTATTTTAGAATATTTAGTTTAATTTTGTGTATGTTAGTTAATTTAGTTTAATATTTTTGTTTGATATAATATTTAATAATTGTGCTTCTTTTTTTGCTTATATTAGTTTATTTTAATTATGATAAATCTCTGTTTAGTGTAATGCATGTGACCTTCACTTTATATATATATAATAAATGAATCATTTGCATAATCATTTGCCTAGATACCCGTTCAAGGCATACACAATAGGAGTATGCCTTAAATAGTCCCCGGTTGGGACTGTCCTTGTACGCTTATTCTCACTTAGGTGGTGAATGTAAGCCTTGCTTTTGATTCTACGGAAAATTGTGTCTTTTCATTTCTCTACAGTGTTCTCTGGGTACATATGTAAGTGTGTTTAATTACCTACATCGTGTACTTGGAGAACTGTAGGGAAATGCCGGCGGATTTTCCGTAGAATTGAAAACCTGGCTTACATTCACTAGTGGGATTAAACGTACAAGGATGGGTTAGGTTGGAGTGATAAGGACCCTTTGGAAGCATTTCATACCTCATTTGCAATTTCATAACACTTTGATGGATAATGATTAGGAAGTACGCTTTGTGACTAATATGCGTGAGTTGTGTAGAAGTTGTAATCATGAAACGAACAGAACGTAGCTGGATGTATGAAAGGAAGGTTGGGCCATATGTTAATCCAGAGTTCGTGAAAGGGGTTGATGAGTTCATGCAGTACGTCAAAGATAATCCCGAAAGTAGTAACCCGAATGAAGTTAGGTGTCCATGTGCTAAATGTAAGAACAAACGGCTTTGGAACCCAGATACGGTTAAACTTCATTTGTTTCGTGCGGGTTTTGTACCTAATTACTATGTGTGGATGTGTCATGGGGAAGGGTTTCCGACAATTCTTGCAAGTGGGTCTAATGAATATCGTGAAATGGTTTTCGATGCGTTTGGTCAAAGTCAGGATCATGGGCATCCCGAGCAGGCTAGTGTTTCATCAGAGGAGGAGCCTAATGCCCAAGCTAAGCATTTTCTGGATTTGTTGAAGGCTTTTGAAAGGCCATTATACGAAGGGAGTTTGTTGTCTGTGTTGGAGATGGCCGCTAGAATCACAAGTCTAAAGTGCGAGTATAATCTTCCGCACAGATGTGTCGATGGGTTTGTTTCACTTCTCAGTGAAGCAATTCCTAACAACAATCAAATGGTCGACACATTCTATAAGGTGAAAAAGATTGTGAAGGGCTTGAAACTGCCTCATGAAAGGATTCACGCTTGTCCGAAGGGATGTATGTTGTTTTGGAAGGATGATGCCCTGCTGTCTACATGTAGGGCGTGTGGCAGCGATCGATACAAGCAGACTTCCAAGGGTAGCCTAGTGCCTTTGAACGTTTTGTTTTATTTCCCGATCACACCCAGGTTGCAAAGGCTGTTTACAACCAAGACTATTTCGAAGGAAATGACATGGCATTCGAAAAATCCTCGAGTGCAAGGCACCATGGCACACCCTAGTGATAGTGAAGCTTGGAAACACCTGGACAATTGCTTTCCAGAGTTTGCCTCCGAGCCTCGTAATGTTCGGCTTGGTTTGTGTACAGATGGTTTTGCTCCTCATGACAAGTTTGGGGGACAATATTCTTGTTGGTCTGTCATTTTGACCCCTTACAACCTGCCTCCCTCAATGTGTATGAAAAGACAATTTATGTTCCTTTCGTTGCTCGTTCCTGGTCCTAAAAATCCTAAGGGCAACTTGGATGTGTACATGCAACCGTTGATTGAGGAGTTGAAACAGTTGTGGGAAGTTGGTGCACATACGTACGATATTTCCATAAAATAGAATTTTAATCTTCGAGCAGCCATCCTATGGACCGTTAGTGACTTCCCGGCCTACGGTATGTTGTCCGGTTGGGCCACATCTGGTAAGAAAGCTTGTCCATACTGCATGGACAAAAGCAAAGCATTTTGGGTAGAAAATGGTTGTGAGGTGTCTTAGTTTGATTGCCACTGCCAGTTTCTTTCGACGAATCACCCTTTTCGGAATAGTAGAACTGCGTTATGCAAAAACAAAGTCGAAAAGGGTGCCCCTCCACACATTATGTCAGGAGAGGAGCTGTGGGAATGTGTGAAAGACCTTCCGAAGGCTACAGCTGGGCCCGAGTCACTTCAACGCCTCAAAAAAGAAAAGAAGGGGTGGTTCAAGCAAAGCATACTGTGGGAGCTTCCATATTGGAAGCATCTGCTTGTTCGTCACAACCTAGATGTCATGCACATTGAAAAGAACTTCTTTGATCAGTTATTTCACACTGTAATGGCTGTGAAAAAGCAGACGTGTGACACGCCATCCGCTCGAAATGACATTGCCAAATATTGTAAACGTCCGCAGCTTCATCTTTAGCAAGATGATAGGGGAAAAGAGTTCATGCCAATGGCTCCATTTGCTCTTGACAAGGCTCAGAGAAAAGTTTTGTGTGAGTGGGTTAAACAACTGCGGTTTCTTGATGGTTACGCCTCCAATTTGAGAAGATGCGTCGATTTGCAGGCATGTAAGCTCCACGGAATGAAAAGCCATGACTGTCACGTGTTCATGGAGAGGTTGTTGCCTACTTCTCTGCGGGAATTGCTCCCTTGCCATGTTTGGAATGGAATAACAGAGATCAGCCAATTCTTTCGCGATTTGTGTTGCTATACAACAACGGTTAGTGACATGGAACGATTGGAGAATAACATAGCTGAGATACTGTGCAAGCTTGAGAAGGTTTTTCCCCCTGCATTCTTTAACTCCATGGAGCATTTACCCATTCATTTTCCATATGAAGGGAAGTTATGTGGTCCTGTGCAATATAGATGGATGTATCCGTTCGAAAGGTAAATCAAAGACCCATGCACATCCTATTTCTTACATCAAATTCAATGTAATGTCGTGTTTATATATTTACATAAATATGATTGCAGGTTCCTCAACCATTTGAAACGAAAAATTGGAAACAAGGCTCGAGTTGAAGGATCCATTTGCAATGCTTATCTCACCGAAGAGATAGCAAACTTCTGCAGTAACTACTTCCAGGCGATGGTTGACACTAAAACATGAGATCTCGGTCGAAATGTGAATGCCGACGTGGAATCCACAGTGGACGACGCTGAAATTCCAGAGTTGTTCAAGGAGGATAGCGGTCGTGTGTCAACTGAGGGCAAAATTCGGTTTTTGGATGAAAAAGAACTGGATTGTGCTCATCTGTTCGTGTTACGAAACACCGACATTCTTGGTGAATACGAAAGGTATAACATAGTTTAGTAATGAAGTGTATTTGGATGATATGATCATCTGAAATTATTACAATGTTTATTTACATTAATTTTGGCCTCGTAGGAAGTTTGAGGACTATGTCCTTAGTACTCGACCTTATCTGCGTAGAGAAGAAGTAATGGAGAAATGCGAAGCTGAATTCCCTGATTGTTTTCATCGCAAGGTGATGTCCACTGTCTAAACGTAGGATAATTATGATTTACTATTCGTGGCTATTTAATTTACTCATTTAGGGAAGTGTGACGGTTTTATTTAAAACGTTTATAGGTTATTGAGGAGGAACAAAACTCAGATGTGCTGCGAGCGTTGTGCATGCGCCCTTTCAAGCGTGTTCGAACTTGGAAGCAGATTTTTGTCGGTGGCTTTAATTTCCATACATATGCCCATGGCAAGCACAAATCTACGATGAATTACGGGGTGTGTGTATCAAGTGAGGATGGTGGAGAGTACTACGACATTTTAGACGACATTATAGAACTGGTCTACACTGGTCCCAAAAAAGAGTACAAGACTATTTTGTTTAAGTGTAGTTGGATGGATTTTGGTAGGGGAATGAACATACATGAACAGTACAAGCTTGTCGAAGTGAATCATACTAAGAAATGCCCCAAGTACGATCCCTTTGTTTTGTCTTACCAAGTGACTCAAGTGTACTACGCATCATACCCAAGCCTGAAACGGGATCGAATACAATGGTGGGCTGTTTTTAAAACACAAGCAAGATCAGTGGTTGATGCTCCGGTGGACTTAGAGTTCTTGCAGGCACCATCCCCACAATTACATGCAACACTTTGCCCACCGAACGATATTCCAGACTATGTCCCAGATGATGATGATGAGGAAGATGACGATGGCTTTGTTATCTAGAGCGATGAAGATGATGAATCTAGCATCAACTCCAGTGATAGTGACGAGGATGATGATATCGATGTATAATTAGATGATAGTAGCGATGATTCCAGTAGTGATAGTAGTAGTGATGACATTAATGAATAGGGGAATTTATTACTCTCCTTCTTTGAATTTGCTTATTATTGTAAAATAGACAAATGAATTGGTCTTTTAATAAATCGATCATTACTTTTATGCTGAAATTTTATTGCATTGCTCAAGTCCCTTGTAACTTATAATATGCTGTAATGTTATTATCAACAACTGCAGGTGATCATGGCGGGCGGTAAAGACACAGATAAACGGAGAATGCAGATCGACGATTCCGATGATGACATGGAGGATGCTTATAATTTGGATAATACTCAGGAGCCGACTTCCAGCTCATCACGAGGTCAGACTCAGGAGCGCTCACAGTTTCCGGTATTAGACCCTACTGTGCTCTGGTACGTACATACATTTTGTGCATTGGGATTTGAATATTTTTTAAAGAAAAATACCTATTTATTACCTGTAACAAGTTTTTCAACACTTGTAGTTCATGATCATCTAACTTTGTGGTTCCCTCATTGCATGTAGGTTTGACGACAACAAGGTCAGGACTGCGGTATCCGGGGCGATAACCGGGTACTATCGACAGCCTTGGAGGAATTACGGCGAGGTGGATGCAGCAACCAAGGAACATTGGTGGAACCTATTCTGCGTAAGCTATTATAAACTTAATTGAAAACATGTTTTTTAAAAATGTTGAGCTGAATTTGGAAATATGACATAACGTTTATCAATTGCAGAAGGAATTCACGTGGGCACCTCAGTTGACCGAGGATGTGAAGCACACGTTTTAAAAGAGGCTTGCTACTCGGTTGCGTGACATGTTCTACACAGTCACGCACAAGATGAGAGGCGTAAGGCCAGCCTGGCTCATTGAGGACGTCCACAAGAAGATGATGGATATTGTTGCCGCCGATCCAACTTTCAAGGCAAGGTCGTCCCAAAACAAGAAGAACAGGAGGGGTGGGTCAATGGAAAGTCCGGTTGAAGCTACCCACTATCAGGGTTCGATGTCAGCCGTACAACATGCTAAACGAATGGTAAGTTTGTTGAATATTCCTTTTAAATTGGAGGGTCGGGTTTATTCTTTTGTAAAGGTGCTCTAACATTTAAAGTTTATCATTTTCTGCATGTATAATCAAAGGCGGCGAAGAACAAAGGGCAGCTCCCAACAGCTCATGAGCTGTTTATGAAGACGCACTTCAAGGAAGTGCCTGGGAAAGGCACAGTACCAGCCAACACCAAAGCACAGCATATTGCGGTATTAACTTCAATAACACCTACAACTGTTATATGCATGTTATAAGAAAAAACTTAGAAAATAGGTTGTTTTTGTGATTTGAACTCATGTGCACCTAAAATTACCTATAATATGCATGTTATGAGAAAGAAATGGTTCATTAGGTGAGAACTTTAGAAAATAGGCAAGGGATTGGTCATTTAGGGGTGAATTGGTTGAATTTTGGTCTTTTAGGGTCCCAAAACTTAGAGACTTGGTTGTATTTGTGATTTCAAGGCATGTGCACCTAAAACTACATATAATATGCATGTTATGACAAATAAATGGTTCATTTGGTGAGAAAGATAGAAAATAGGCAAGTGAAAGGTCATTTAGGGGTCTATTGGTTCTAGTTTTGGTCCAATTCGCTCCCAAACCTTAGAGACTTGGTTTTTTTTTTGTGATTTCAATGCATATACAACCCCAACTACCTATAATAAACATGTTATGACAAAAAAATGGATCATTTAGTTAGAAATGTAGAAAATAGGCAAAGGATAGGTCATATAGGCCTCAATAGGTTGAATTTTGGTCGTATTCGCTCCCAAACCTTAGAGACTTGGTTTTTTTTTGTGATTTCAAGGCATATACGTCTAAAACTACCTATAATAGACATGTTATGATAAAGAAATGGTTCATTTGGTTAGAAATGTAGAAAATAGGCAAAGGATAGGTCATTTAGGGGTCTATTGGTTTTAACTTACATCCTTAATTTTTGCAACTTTTCATATGTCTATCTTGTAGGAGGCCTACCAGAAGAAAGTTGAAGAAGCACGCACCCAAGGGATTCAAAAGAGTCCAAATGAGTTGTACTGGGAAACTGTAGGTGGTCGAAACAAGAAGGGTCGTGTGAAGGGACTTGGCCAAGGTGCGGAGCTGTATTACGGCTGCCGGAAGAGTTCCAAGTCTTCCCAGCAGTACACGCCTTCCTTTCTTTCCCAGATGCAAGATCAAATGGACCAGAGGGTTGAGCAGAGGTTGGAGGAGAGGGTGCAAGCTATGCGGAGTGAAATGGAAGTCGAGATGGAGACTCGATTGGCCGAAATAGAAAGGAGAAACCAAGAGAGGTATGAAGAGATGATGCGTCGATTCTCCAGCAACGACTCATGTTCCAACATTCCACATCAGCGTCGAGACCCCACGAACGACGACCATGGTAGCGGCGGTGCAGGGATAGGTACTCCAACTGTAGCTTAGAATTTGTGTACATAATTGGACATGTATTTAGTTTTAAATTATGTTGTATAGTTGCACAAATCAAAATATATACATTAATATTATTGTTAATATATATATGAAAATATTTTCGTATTTAAATCGTCAATTCAAAATTAACACAAATTAGGTGCAGGATATAGGTGAGCAAAATCGAATTAAATAATTTAATTCTTGCTTATTAAATAGGACCCTTCTGACGGAACTTTTTGTTAGAAATGGATACCTTCCGACGGATTTATTCGTCGGAACATAAGTGGTTCCGACGGAATATTCCGTCGGAATTGCTTACGTTCCGACGAATAAATCCGTCGGAAGGTATCCATTTCCGACAAAATGTTCCGTCGGAAGAACTACTTTTCCGATGAACAATTCCGTCGGAACGAAAGATATTCCAAGGGAATATTCCGTCGGAAGATCGTCGGTTATGACGGAAATATCCGTTGGACGCCTTCCATTTACAACGGAATTAATTTCGTCGGAATGTTGCGACGGACTTTCAATTTAAGTCAAAATCAGCTCCGACAGACGGAATTCCGTCGGAAAGTTCTTCGGAAAGTTGACTTCCGACGGAATTTTCATCGGAAAACGTTCATTTTCCGACAAGGGGCGTTGCGACAGACTACTTCTGACGAAATTCCGTCGAAAAGGCCGATTCCGACGGATTTTTAATGTTTCCGACGGATTAATTCCGTCGGAATTGAGCTGTTTTCTTGTAGTGGTAGATTCAATTAATAGTTTGAATTGTCAACTATACATAATTGTGAAGCTAATTAAAAAAATAATTGACGCATAACTAAAGAAAAAACAAATAATCAATGAAATGCATTAACTTTTATTTCAATAGAAGTAATTTAGGGAAATGATTTAGATCAAGTTAAAAAGATGAGCATAATTGACAATTAAAAATTAAAATATTATTTTCTCTTCAGTAATTATTCATGTCCTTAATTTATTCACTTTTTGAATTTCTCTATAGATGCCAAAATATGATTTTGGTGATAATAATTAGAATTTTAATTTCATCCTTAGCTTTTTATATATTTAATTAGTTAGATAGCATGATAATTTATATCAATTTTTAATGTACAATTGATAGTGAATTCTTGAAATTAACGCACGCAACGCCTGTATATAGAGCTAATTTCATATAAATCTAGGTCATTGTCTAGGCCAAAACGCTAGTCAATCATTTAAAAATATGTGCTCAAATAAGCATTTGAATTTACTATATATATATAAAAAAAATTAACCATGCATACACTAAAGAAAAGCATAAACTTTTACCCATTTGTGAAAAGTTAGACAATATATAGAACTTCTTATAGGTGGAGTAACCTATATAAATAAATTAAATCTTACTCATATAAGTTAGTCGCTCTCCCTTTATCTTTTCAATATGAACAACACAATAATACACTAGGCGAAAACATGTAATCCGCACCAGTTCAAACCCCCCATTTCGCACTGGTTTTGAACCGGTCTTGATTTGGGGGGTGCTAAAACCCCATGGATTTCGCACCGGTTCAAAACCGGTGCGAAATCAGACTTTTCGCATCAGTTCTTGTGCAAAAAACCTCACTTTTCGCACCGGTTTTTGCTTTGAACCGGTGCCAAAAGTCCCAAAAACATTTTTTAAAAACTTTTAGCACCGGTTCTGTTGCAAAACCGGTGCCAAAAGTGCCCCAAAAAAAAAAAATATATATATATATATTTTTTTTTTGCATTTTTTCACTTAAATTGATATATAAACACTAACATATATATAAAGTTACATATTTTCATTATAAAGGGCTGTAATATTACAATTTTCGTCGAAAAATAAATAACATACAATGTTACATAAGCACAAACAACATGGACATGCAAAAGGCTCTCAGGCAAACTAAGCTGGCATTAGAAGCATTCCGATCATAGCATTAGTCGAGTGCAGCGAACTTTACTCCTGAAAAAGCAAAATCACCATTACAACTTTCATAAAAGTTTAAGCTGACCAAGAAGACAGATATATTGCTGAAAAACTCACATCTACATCAGACATGAAGAAAAACTTTCCAAAGCTATAATATCCGATGCACACAGTTAAGATGTCACTGAACTTCTGCCTCATAATATGAATTAAATTCAGAACTTGAGATGTCAATGTACAGTTGCTCACAAGAGAGCAAAAAGGAGAATGAATCCCAGAAGTCAGAACAAACCAATGAATCCCAAAAGTCAGAACAAACCAGAAGTCAGAACAGCCTATAAACGAGTAATTAACTAAGTAAACATTAAAGAGGGATGACGGCAATACAAAATTAAGGAGATCGTTCATCATTTACATTTGAAAGCAATACAAAATTTGAGATAAAAATTAAGCTCCCCTTAAGTCTGAAATGATCTCATGGACTATACACAACAGATCGCTTTGGCTTTAATATGTAATTAAAACAAACACATTTTAGTATCTCACAATCTGATAGAAATTATAACTTTTACTTGAAAAAAAAAATCTTCGGCTTTTCAGATGTAACAGAGAACTATATATAGATGCTTAAAATAAAGACAATATACTAATACAAAGTATTCATCTATACCAGATTACCAGATAATTATACTACAATGAAAATGTCTTTAACTAGTTAGTAGCTAGCCCCAATGAGTTACAATCAGGCTAATTCTATACACACACTTAAATAATCTTTCAATTTGTTGAATCAGTTGAGAAACCACCACCATTTCCGAAAAGAAAGACTGGAATTCTGCTCTCAGGACAATACAACTATACGTGTGCATATTCAGTTAAGTATTCCAGCAAGATGAGAAACCTCTTATCCATTGAAATGGTAAACAGAAAATATTCGGGAAAAAAAAAGAAAGAAAGATTGAATGTTGACTGACTTACATTGTATACGGTGAAAGTGGTCTTGGCTTTGGCTGTGCGGAAGCCTGCTCATTCCCTGCATCTTATGCTTCAATAGATTCAACTGGACCATTATTTGACAAGCTAGCTGTCTGAGATTCAGCACCATCCGAGGCCATGGAAGTGGCCAATGAATTAGGAGTTGTTGGGGTTGGCGAAGTAGGGGACTTCAAGTCTTCATATCTGCAAGGAAAAGAGAAGATAACCAATTTTTTTATCAGCTATTTTCCCAAATAATTTATGAGTTGAAAAGGGAATCTCAAATGCTGTGTAAAGATGAGAGCCAGCTACTGACTAGCTAAATGACTTGACTAAATTATGATCCATAGAATAAAAACGTCATGGCATCATTATCCTAATTTCCAGCTCCTCCATTTTGTAAACTACGCATATGTGACACTTCTTTCTGCACCATGATAAATCAGATGAGTACAGACAAGGTTCATATAATTTAACTTCTTTATGATATCCAACACCAATCCAACAACAGCTTAACTATTTTCTTCAGAAAAATATTTGAAACATGAAGACAGAAATTATACTAATGTACTAAAAATAAAAAGATTAGTACAAATTCAAGTGAGAATTGAGATTGTTTGGCAACAAGACTTTTGCATTTTTACACAACCTATGAATTATGTGTCTATTAATATAATCTTATGCTTCTCTTAGAAGAAATTCTCTATTGTATTAGTTCTTGGGAAGATATAAGATAGAGATACCTTCAATTGCTGAATTTGCATTCTCATGGCAAGGACATCACCAGAAGCATCTTCGTTTACAATGGCCTGATAGGTTGAACAAATGGATATGAATATTATAATTAATGAACATGAAGCTAACCAGTTAATATTCTTTTAGAGAATGGTACTTAAAGGCAAATATCTAAAGAAAACCAACTTAACCAATTTAGCACGCTGAAACTTCAGGGTGCTAAGAGTCTCCAGTGAGCAGCTGCAAGAAGCCGAAAAGTTATATCAAGGAATAAAGTTCTAAACACAGAAAAATCTACCTTCTATATTTGGAACTCGAGATAAAGAAAAACAGGAAATACTCTGTATCTGCTTAAGCAAAATTATAAATTCTTCCATTACCTCAAAATAGAAGAGAATTATTTAAGATTGCTAAATCAACACTACCATGTGTATGAGATACAAACTGAACACTTTGCCTAGTTTAGATTCCCATTACATATAGATGAAAGTGACGATTAAAAATAAAAGGGATGCAGGAAGCACTAACCAGTTGGATGGACTAATATTAGCAATTATAGTGGTTTTTGCATTCCCTCCAAGTGAGTTGAATTCCAAAGTACAGCTCAAGTCAGACTTGCAAATAGGATTCCTTGGCAGATTAATGAGCAAAAAATTGTGTTAGAAAATACCTGAAGCAAAAAGGTTAATTTTGAATCTCGATATGGCACGTGATGGGATTTTCCATTAGATATGCTCACGAGGTTCGTTATCGCGAGTCTGAAGCATTATAAAAAGTAAGGACAATCAAGAGATAAATTCTTTACTGTGAGCTACTGCTATATAGTTTAAATTGAAAGAAGGAAAAACAGACCTTGACAGTGACTTATTGATATTTGTGGCTTCTTTAAGACGGTCACCTTCTGCACCAGAACTCTTTTGCCTGTAATGATCATCTTGGTGAGGCTAAGACTTGAAATAGATAGCAGTAAAACACTCAACAAGAAGACTAGATTCTAGAACAATAATTTCTCTCTTTCTATTTTCTTTCTTTTGTATTAGTCTAGTACTAGCAACGAGTTGCAATTTATGATTTTACCTTTCAGAGCCAGCTAAATCTATAAGATTTAGTCGAGCAAAGCGATTATGTGTTACACGAGTTCATATTTGAAGATGACAAGTGGAATCATCACAGAATTTTACTAGTTGATACGTATTATTGCTAGTCATCTTAGAGGCTCCTAGTTAATTTGCAACCTTATCACAAGATATTTGTAAAGTTTGTTGTTGTAACTCATTCAGGAGGCCCCTAGTAAAGAGGCATATTTTAAGAGGTCAAAAATCATGTCAAGGGTTGAGAATACTTGAGGTTGGCTCCTTAACAA